ACAAAAATATTAACATCTCAAGTCAGCAAAAGTTTCAAAGGAAAAAAAAATTTTATGTATATATATAAAAAAAATTTCAAAAATTCAAAATTTTGCTTCTTATGTTGGTTAAAATTATTTTATAGCCAGGTAAATGTGTAGATTTGTGAGAGTTCTCTCAGCTAAAGAAAGTGCTAGTAAAAGCACATTTCCAGAACTGGGAAGCTTCTGTAAGTTGTAAGAGAAGGTGCTAAATTTAAAGCACCCTTCTCGTAAAATGTAGTATAAGTGTAGTAGGTTTAAAACAAATATTAACCAAAATAAGTCTTTGTTAAATAAATTTTTTATGAATATTTATAAATAAATTAAAATAATGAAAGACAAAAATAACTCATAAAGAAATTAAAATAATATAAACTGCTTAAATAGCAAAAATTTTCATTACGGGATGTACAATATTTCTGCTGACAAGAGGTGCACGTGTGAGTCTCACGTGATGCGAGCTGCACTTCGAATAAATAAAAAAAACGTCAGAAATTTATTTATTCTATTGTTAGACTACAGGAAGAAAGATATAAGGTAACAGATAATGAAAAATAATATTACTAAAATATTATAATTTCTTTATATATAAAAAAATTTAAAAAAGATTTTTAAATTAAATTTTTTTTTTAAAAAGAAGTATTGTAAATTATATATATAATGAAAAAATTTGATGTGAACAATAGAGATTATTCAGGCAAGAATAAAAATTCTTGAGTTAATGATATATATGAAAAAAAAAAATTCTAAAAAATTTTAAGAATTTTTAAATAAAACTTAAATTATGTTTTTAAGAAAGAAATTTAAACATGTCAAAATTGAATAATGTTAAACTTGAATTTATTTAAACAGTTAAATTTACTTGATTTTAATAAAAATAGATTTGAAAAGAAAAATTTGAAGAAAAGTATTGAAAGATTATAAATTTTCTCAAGCGAAAGTTAAATAATTTCGTATTCGAAATCCCACCGCTGCCACCAGTGTTCTTTATGTTATGTCCAAGGGCGTTTTTAGGGCGGTAGCGTAAACGGTGGAGGTTTGGACTAACAGTTTAAAGAATACACAACGGAGGTTTTAATTCCGTTGTTTTAATTATTTTTGTGGGACGTTTTTGATGTACGAATTTACCACGCCTTCGTTTGAGACTAAGCACGGATTTTTATTGAGTATAGATGTACTTTCTACTTGCAGGATTATTTCTGATTACCGGATCCGTGATTCCGGAGCTGCTGTTAGCGCCTTTTCCTTGAATGGGCCCTCTGGTTGGTTCTTGCAGCGGATGGAATTGGAGGGATTTGGGCTGTTTACTCTAAGGGCTCCTTATTTTATGAAATGAACTAACTCGAACAAAATTTCACTTCTTTTGATATTTATTTTTATAAACACTAAAACTTTTACACTTTCACAAATTTTATTAAACGTAATTTATTTATTTGAATTTTATTTGTTTGAGCTAACGTCCTCCAGTCCCCCGTAGGGTAAAGTGCGCAAATTTAGCTTTAAAAAGATCTTAAGTTATTTACTGACCGGATTCTCGTCTAAGTGCGGAGCAAATTAGAACTTTGAGAATCTGGTTTTCTAAAATTTACTTATTGGCCAAAAATCTCGCCTAAAAGCAGGGCAAATTAAGACTTTGAGATTTTGACTCTCTAATTTTATCTACTAACCGAACTCTCACCTAAGTGCAGAGCAAATTAGAACTTTGAGAATCCCGACTCGTAGACAATATTAACAACTAATACGTGGCCTGCCGGTTAAACCGTGTCTGAACTCGTCTTAAGTGCAGCGCAAATTAAGACAAGGGACTTATTCAAGGCACGGGTCCGTCAAGTTAAACGCGGAAGTCAAATTAACTAACTAAGATATGGCGTTGGCTGTTGACCGCCTTTTTAAAACCTCGCGCTGCTGAGTTTGCAGAAGTCCCCGCTAGTCAACCAGCAGTCGCGTAGCTTCTATTTTATTGTGGCTTTCGCGCATGGAGAAGTCTTCCATCTACGCGGACGATTTAAATTTAAAGAAAGAGAAAAGAAAAAAATTTGCGGATGGACATAGGGGAAACAAGTGTTTTGTTAACATAACTCTGCCATTTTTTGAAATAATTTTCAAACGGCTTTACCGATCAATTTCAAAAACTAATCAGCTATTAAGATAAAAAAATTACGTCGATCACCGTCAAGCCGGTCTAAATCGGTCAATTCGTTCAAGAGATATCGTGAACGAAAGAAAACCGAAAAAAGGGTTTTTTCGGAATTACTCCAGATTTCCTAGTTTTATCAATTCAAACTTGAAAATTCTTTATGAGACTGAAAATACTGCGTCGAATGCCGACCGTGTGAAAATCGGTTGATTCATTCAAAAGTTATTGCGGTTTGAAAATTCAAAAAATATTGTTCCATAAAACTTCTATCGAGCTCAAAACCATAGAAGAGCTATCTCTCTAAGCTCGGAGAGCTCCAAAACATCATTAGTCCAATTTTAAGCACCTAGGTATGGAATTAGCGGGAAGTTGCAGGGATGGCCTTCAGGGTCTACCGTTTTTCTAATTTTTTAGTAGATTTCATAGAAATCTAACAATTGCATTTGTCCTTATGACGCAACTTTTGAAAAATTTTGCTATTTTCTGACTCATTTTATCATACTCATTCAGAAAACACCATTAGTTCGAAAGTTTATAAATGTATGTATTGAGACAATGCAAATTGTCCTTTTCTTCTCAGCCCTCAACTGACTGTCTGAAAACTCTCGTCACCGACACTGGGTTAATTTTCTTAATTTTTGGCGGTAGAGTCTCGGAAAAGAGTGGGGATAAACAGCCCACGCGACAACACCGAAAATATTGATCAGACTTCGATCCAACCCCAAACTAGCAATCACGCTAATTTTCTAACTCTCTATACTACTATTTATTGATTACTAATTAAGCAAATTATAACATTTTATATATTCTAAAAATTCATTACTGTTTAATTTAAGTTCTACTATTATAATTAATTATTCAAGCATTTATTGCATTCGAGAAATGATAAGTAAATCATTAGTGTGTGGAATAAAATAGTTATTTTGTTATAAATTGTGCATCATCATTGCTATAAATTTACCTATCTACTAAGATTATTTCACCTACACATTCTTTGAAGGACGAATACTATTAAGGAATAAACTGATACCTCACGGCTGCTGTACTAATCAGGATCTTGTAAAACTATCATCGTTATATATTGTAAGTAATCAAAGAATATTTACTGGCACACGTGAGACTTCCTATCAGACTACGTACTCTTTCTATAACGTTCTATTCACTCTAAATATCTAAGAACTAAATACGTCATCCGTAAGGAAGCGGATTTCCGAGAGCTGGTGGTCCTAATAAATAAATTTAGAGAATCAATTGACTAAATTCTTATCCGCGAGGTTTTGGTGAATTGATAAATGAAATTTTTATATTAAAGAAAAATTCTCATCTCTCAATATTTCTACACATAAAAAAAAGTCATCTTGAGTCAAGTAATATTTACTTGATCCCAAGTATATTCAACTGAAGATAAAATATATTCTTGAGTTAAGTAAATTTTTTTCTTGTTTTGGTCAATTTTGGTTTAAGCAAATATTCCCTAGTTCCAACATGCGTACCAACTTAAGTGAAGAAAAAAACCTCTTAATCCAAGTAAATCATTCTCTTGGTTTTTGAACTTGCTTGAAGTACACACGGGCGCATCGAGGCCGAGTAGGACAGCAGCCGCGCGCAAACCCATTTTCAACATTAAATAAAAATTATTGTTTATGGAGCTGGAGTTCCGGGAGTTGAGACTTTCTTTCAGAAATTTCCTCCTCTTTAAAGATCTTTTTTCTGATTGTCGATATCACGTATAGTTATTGAGTTATTAACGCAACAAATGCCTAACCGTGTGACCGTGTACTTTGTATGAGTCGAGCAAATACTTGCATATACAAATATTTTCGTCACTACACACTTAACTGTAAATCAGTAATATAATGGGAAATCAGCAATTAAAAATTAATCAAAAATGTTTAATTAAATGAACACAAAAAATAAAAATCATGCATAAGGTTATTTTTTTTAATTTAATTCTTTATTAAAAAAATCTCGGTTTAGTTCCAAAAAATCACGTCGCCAACGTTGGCGCTACTTTCCAAACCAAGAGAAAGATTTACTTAGGATAAGTATATGACATTATTAGTTCAAGAATAAACAATAACTTGAAACAAGAAGTAAATTTTGAAGAAAATAATTTTCTTGAGTCAATATGACTTTTTTTTCTGTGTATACATATATATGTCGGAGAATAAAGTACAGTGGAGTATTTTCTGACGAAGTGATGAGAATATTCTTTAGGATATTTCTATTTTTAGTAATTTTTAGAAACGTACTGTTACTGTAAAGAGAAATGTGCAGCAGGGAGACTTTTTGAGAATAGTTTTGGTAAAAGACAGTCTTGCTTTGGAATTGAGATTGAACGGACGTCCTGGTGATCGCAAATTCGTTGTTTCCTAAGTCTCGCTCTATCGCAAGATATTTTTAATATTGCTTGCATTCTAAATTAAATTTACCTTGCATGAGTTTATCTACTCATTCTTAATAATTGATCTTGTTGTAATTGTGAATATTAATTAATTGTAATAATAAGAATGAGTAAATCACAAAATTGCTGAATCTCCAACAAACGTTCTTGCCTCTTCTGACACATAGATAGATAAATAGCTTTATTTGATCTTGGAGTCATGGCTCCCTCAAAACCATCATATATAAATACATATTTGATACAATATAGTAGTAAATGTTTTAAATCTTATAATTTGTAGAAATAATCTTTAAAAATAATAATAATTAATAAATAATAAAGTAATAATAATGGATAATAAACAATAAATAATCATCAATCATCAAATAACCATCATAATCATCACATTCAAGTAACAGCTATAATAATGAATACATCATAAATCTAAATTCGAAATTGTCAATTATCATTTTCCAAAAAATAAGCAAAACAAGCATTTTTGAATAGATTCAAATTATCGAGAGAAGTTAGGTCCGCCGGCAAGGAGTTCCAGATGCGAATGCCATGAACTAAGAAAGATCTGTCATACATATTCGAGTTGGCGCGCGACAAACGTAAATAGTCTTGTCTTATGTCTCCTCTACGCAAAGCAACATCTAAAAACTCCAACCTCCGCCCGAACAACTGTCGAGAATTTAGACGTATTTCCTTAAAAAAACAAGCAGGCAATGAAATAGTCTCTTCTTGCACTTAGTTTGAGCCAACCTAGTTTTTTGTAAAACGGTGTCACATGTTCCAGTTTCGAGATTTTATATATAAATCTAACACACGAATTCATCTTTCTCTGTAACTTGAGCTGTAAAGTGTTGGAGATGTTTGTCAAAGCAGCACTACAATAATCAAAAATTGGAAATATCAGAGTTGTCACTAACTTAATTCGAAGTTGTTCATTGAAGACCTCATTACTGATCTTTAGCTGTGCCAAAGTCCTCATGGCCTGATTACATATTTTCGTTACTTGATCTTCCCACGCTAGCACATTATCAATAATGACACCTAAGTATTCAACCGATTCCACATACGGAATGATACAGTCATCAACAACAATTTTTTCGGCTGAGACGCAAGCATCACTGCCGACTCTATGACGACTACCAAAGATAACTGCCTTCGTCTTCGACGCATTCAGCTTTAAACAAATTAATTTACACCAGTTAATGATTTTCGCAATTTCATTGTTCAGCAAAGCAACATGATCATTAATTTCTGAAGGGTGGCACGATAAATATATCACTAAATCATCCGCATAAAATATATACTGACATTTTAGTGACTTAGCAAGGTCTGAAATATATAGTGAGAACAATAACGGCCCAAGAACACTGCTCTGCGGAACACCATTGAGAACCTCCCTCCACTGAGAGAAGCGACCATTACTCTGAACCGATTGTCCCCTCTGTCCTAAGTACGATCTAACCCATTCTAGTGCCTTATCATCAAAATTCATATAGAGAAGTTTACGTAGCAGTCTTTTGTGGTTAACTGAGTCAAAAGCCTTGCTGAAATCAAAGAAGACTGCTACCGTCACTTTCAATTCATCAATTCCCAATCGGATATCATCGCACAGTTTAATCACAGCCGTTTGAGTATTCGAGCCAGTGTTGCCGATCCGTGGGGAATTCCCCAAAACGTGGGGAATTTTATACTTATGCGGGTATAAAATGGAGAATAAAATTTTTGGGGAATTGTGGGGAATTGAGGGAATTTCATTATTATTTCTAAAAGAATTTGTTAAATTCTGTTTTGTCGAAAACTATCCAATGCGGATAATTCCCGTAATTGTTTTTAAAAATATGATGAAGTTGGGATTAGGAAATTAAATAATAATACTTGGATTTTTTGGGGAACAATTTAGAAGAATTTATTTGTCCCCAAAGGAGGAAAACCCAGCTAGGCTGGGAAAAACCTCCTTGATGAAATTATACAAGTAAATTGTGTGTGTGTGTGTGTGTGTAAGTGTGAATGTGTAAAATTACGTTGCAATAACGCAATAGGGGTGAGCTCAGCCGCCTTAGATAGAAAATTATCGATAATTTGAATTAGATAAGTCCCAAGGTGGGAGCTGGTAATATCTAATTAATTTGAACTGTCTCAGAGTGAGAGCTATTAATGTTCAATTGTCTCTAGGTGAGAGCTAATAATGTTTAATTAGTTAAATAAATAGTCTCAAGGCGAGAGCTAATAATGTTCAATTGATAACAGAATGTTAGTCAATTGAGTTTGATAATTTCGTGTAGAAATTAGTCAAATGATTTGAAGTTGGAATTTAATTATTTATAAGTTAAATCAAATAAGATCGTAATTAAATGTTAATAATAAATTCAATGTAATTAATGGTTAATATCACGCGTCAATTATGAATTGACTAAAGCCGCGTGGCTGATGCAATCCCTTGTCACGGTGGCGCGTAATGGCCGCGTGGCGTCACGAAATAAATTTATTTGATTTTATTTATGTTAATTCACTGATTTATTAAACTGATTTAAATGAATTGAGAATTTAGAGTATAATTGAGTCTACTATAATTATTTATATTTAATGAATAATTTAAATATTTGAATGGATGTGAGATGCAAGTAAGAATTATCACATTGATTAGCACAGAGTAGTCGTACTAGTACAGAAGTCCAAGCACAGCTGTTGCATCAGACCACGCGAGCCGGCTTCTCTACCGCTAACCAAGGCGCGCATGCGGGACGGCCATAGCGTGATACGATTATTCCCGAGTTCATACGATTATTTTCGAGTTTTAACGATTAAGCCCGAAGGCGTAATTTCTCTTATAAGTATTTGACTAGATCTCTTTTCTAGCGGTTAAACATTCTCCCCGCGTTGCGAAGGTTGAGCAAGATGTTATGAATAGTGTTTACAATTAATGATTTTACATGATTACAATATTTTGAGTTTACAGATTTTATGAATTGATTGGTAACGGACATAACAGAGTAATATTCCGTTTGTATGTGCCTTGAGCCGTTCGAATTGAAGCCACTCGTGTTATGTTATCCTCTCCTGGATGAATCTCGATCACCACTCCCAGCTGCCACCGCATGCACGGTTGGTTTTTGTCCATTAGTAAGACGACTTGATTGACTTTAATATCCCCTCGATTGGAGTCCCATTTTTGCCTGGTCTGCAATTCATGAAGGTATTCCAAGTACCAGCGTTTCCAGAAATCTTGTCGAGCCTTGACAGTGAATTGCCATGAGCTTAGTCTATTATCTGGAATGTCAGAAAAATCATTTTCAGGCAGCATAGTGAGAGGACGATCTATTAAAATTTGTGCAGGAGTTAAAGCAATAGGATCATTAGGATCAATGAACATAATTGGACGAGAATTTAATATAGATTCAATTTGTATAGCCAGAGAATTTAATTTTTCAAATGTTAAAAGTTGTTCTTTCATTACTCGTTTAAAATGATGTTTAAATTACTTGACTGCCGCCTCCCAGATACCACTGAAATGAGGAGATAACGGTGGATTGAATTTCCAGATAATGTTTTTCTTTATTGCATAGTTGTTAACAATTTCCTGTTGGGACTTAGAGTTGAATAGTTGGTAAAGTTCTATTAATTGATTATTTGCACCCACAAAATTGGTACCATTATCAGAATATACATGAGATGGAACCCCTCTTCTACCAATAAAACGTCCGAAAGCTCCTAAGAAACCCTCGGTAGTTAAGTCACTTACGATTTCTAAATGTACGGCCTTAGTAGCCATACAAACAAAAATACATCCATAGACCTTTACTTTAGTTCTGTTTCGAACTTTGCGTTCTTTGATAAAAAGAGGTCCAAAATAATCAATTCCTGCGTGAGAAAATGGCGGAGATTCCGAGACTCTAGAACTAGGCAAATCGGCCATTTTACTTTGCAAGAGAATTGGTTGTTATCGAATGCATTTAACGCAATGTCTAATGATTTTACGTACTTGATTTATGCCATCTAGCAGCCCAAATTTATGTCTAAGATTTGAAAGGGTACTCTGTATACTCGAATGGTACACATTTTCATGGGTTTCTCTAATAATTAGATCAGTAACATAATGACGTGAAGGTAATAAAATAGGATGTTTTTTCGAAAAAGATATAGGAGCATGTTTCAAACGGCCTCCCACTCTCAATAATCCGTTTGAATCGATAAATGGATTAAGAGATCGTAATCGTAGATTTTTTGTTTCTCCGGTTTCTTTAATTTGTTTGATTTCATCATGATATTGTTCGTTTTGAATTAGAGTTAAGATTTTAATTTCAGTTAATAATTTTTCTTCTACGTTTAAAGGTTTGTGTTTGAATGGATTATCTTTTAACATTCGTAAACAATAGGAAAAAGAATTTATAAGTTTAGAATATGATGAAAACCGTTTAAATAAATTGTCAGTAGTAGCTAGTAAACAAGTAATTTTTCGAACACCAGGATGTTCAGAAGGAACTGCCGGCTTTAAGTTAGGCCAATTGAAAGGATCCTGTGATATCCACGTAGGACCTGTCAACCACATTTTATTGTTTATAAATTCAGAAGGAAGTTGACCTCTAGATAAGCAATCTGCCGGGTTATCCTTGGTTCTGACATGTCACCATTCGACTTTATTGCAAAGAGTTTGAATTTGTGTAACGTGATTCGCTTCAAAGACCTTGAGAGTGTTGGGTGATCGCTTGAGCCATTGTAGTACAATAGTTGAATCAGACCAAAATGTGACTTTAGATATGTCAAAGTTAAATGAAGGAATTGTGTCTTTATATAATTTAGTAAGTAATAATGCTCCACATAACTCTAATTTTGGAATTGTAACATCTTTAATGGGAGCAACTCGAGATTTGGTACACACTAATTTCACGTTCACGTCTCCAAGTTTATTTTCTGATCTTATATAAATGCAAGCACCATAGCCTACTTTGCTAGCATCACAAAATCCATGCAACTGTATGTCAGTCGGATCAGGAATTCAAATATTTCGTTCAACAGAAAAGTCTTTAATTAGAGGTAGTTGTTCAGCAAATTTACACCAGCGCAAATGCCATTCTTGTGGGACCGTTTCATCCCAATGAACCTTTAATTTCCAATATTCTTGAATGATGGTTTTTGCAGCTAATACGATGGGTCCTAGAATTCCGATAGGATCGAAAATTTTTGCAATGTCAGATAAAATGGTTCGTTTAGTTATTTTTCGTGATGAATCGTTTGATTTGACTGTATAGATAAATTCGTCAGTTAGAGAATTCCATGCTATGCCCAAAGTTTTAGAGATATGATCATCATTAATAGCACAATCTAAATCTAAGGTTCTTTGATCGAAATTATCCAGTGCGTGCCGGTAATTCGAAGCCCATTGTCTGAGTTTGAATCCACCCTTTCGCACTAGTTGAATGATTTCGTCACGCAAGTTTAAAATTTCGGTCAAAGAATTGGATCCGGTTAATAAGTTGTCGACATAAAGATCTCGTTTTAATATTTTTGAAGCTACAGGAAAGTTATGAGATTCGTCATCAGCAAGTTGATTTACGGTGCGTATGGCTAAAAATGGAGCTGCAGAAACTTCAAATGTAACTCGTTTAAGTTCAAAGGTACTAATATCGTTATTGTGGTAGTAAATGATTCGTTGATATTTATGATGATCCGGTTGTATGCAAATCTGTCGGTACATTTGAGCTATGTCAGAAGTCATAGCATAAACAAAGGTGCGAAAACGTAAGAGAATGGTGAAAAGATTATCTTGTATAGTAGGCCCGGTCAGTAAGACTTCATTCAAGGAGATACCTTTGTCGGTTTTAGCTGAAGCATCAAATACAACGCGTACCTTAGTGGTAGTGCTGGATGTTTTTATTATCGGATGATGGGGCATGTAATACCCTGGTCCACTATCATCCGGTACGTGTACCATGTGGCTAAGATTGATGTATTCATTCATGACTTTATTGTATTCAGCTTTTAATGATGAGTCTGAATTTAATCTCTTCTGTAAAGATAGAAATCTATTTAGAGCCTTTTGTTTGGAATTCCCGAACTCGACATCGTCTGCGCGAAAAGGTAGTTTTACTATATATCGACCGTCTGTATCGCGAGTAGTAGTGTTTTGATAATGAGTCACATGTAGAATCATCAAAGGATCGGGAATCATTAGAACCT